ATACATACATACATACATATATTATATATATATATATATTATATATATATATATATATTGTTTACAAATTTAACAAGTATATGCACATACAGGGACTAAAACTTGAATGGCATAATTTTTAATTTCGGTAATACTATACTTCAAAGCTGAGCATATATGCTGTTACGCCAAATTTGAATACATATACCTGTAAGTGTATGTCTCAAATACAAGTACATTCACATCGTAATATCGTCGCTTGTTGTCATCACGCATTAGTGGCCACTATAATTGGTTGGTAGTCCAGGTGCATGTACCGAAATGGTGTCGCGAGTAGGCGTGTTACGGCTGGCGGTTCAATTGGCAGAGTTTCGTTTGTCTTTCGTGGTTACTTTCTCCGAAGTTATCTTTACCGTTTTCGTATCTCTGCGCTAAAGCTTGAATCCACCGATTTCTCTAAAACCCTAAACCCTAAAACTGAAGCCCTGAACCCCTAATCGGACGCATCAGATATGTATAGGTGTCTGTAGCTGTATCAGTTAAACATCTGATTGTTCACGAAGAATCAGTGCCCGTCGTACGCTCGTGCTGCATATCTGTATCAAAGCTGCCTACTGCATCGATTGTACTGTAGGTCGGTTCGATGTATTAGGAGTTGAGTTTTATATCTAGATCTCAGACTTCAATCAGTGGCGCTTCGAACCGCATGATCCACCTATCTGGCAATGTGTTGTTCATCTGCCACTCCTTTGGCCGTGTGGAGTTGTCTGTGTTAGTGAATGACTTGATAAGTGAAGTGCATCGCATGAGGCGCAAACGAGGAAGGAATGTTGGTTTATCAGCTACAGCTGTACTAGTTCGTTTTCTGTGTTTATTTGGTTCACTCAATGAACTGCACTAGTTCGTTGTGTGTGATCCAATCTCAACGGACCATTCGATATCGCATCAGTTGTTGGGATGAGTTTTTCATTCTATGTTAACAATTAACCGCCTCTGCACTAGACGCAATATGACAGCGACACTAGTATGACCACTTTGAAGCCCTAAACCATAAACCCTAGAACCCTGAGCAACGCAGATCACTAGAGTACAGTACCCGTGCGGCACTAAGGCAATGTCGTCGCTTCAGAGTGTGATGGTGAGGGCTAAAACCCCAACAGCGCAAACCGCTCCTCCTTCGCGCTAGCGAACAAGTCTTTGAAATACGGCGGAGTGTGCTCAACAGGCGCTGCACCACTCACAGTCCCATTGGTCCCATTGGGAGAAGCGCTCGCCGCTGTGGGTGCGTTGTCCTCGCCTACTAGCGCACTGCCCTGCCCTGTCCCTGTCCCCTTATGCGGGTGCAGGTGCAGTGGGGTGTTGTGAGCTGCGTCGGTGCACGCGTCCTTGTGCTTGTCCCTTGTCTCGTCTGTCGCAGACGCACTGACACCCACTGCCGGGCCTCCGTTGCACATGTCCGCTATCGCATCGCAGTAGTCGAACTGCTTGTGGGGCTTTCCTGGTGGGTTGAAGTGGTGTACTCTGTTCAACGGATCCACTAAGTCCTCATCTTGCACCTCTACCTCAGTGTTTTGGGCCTCACTCGCTGCCCAGTCCAGCGCTATCTGCTCCTCAGCTGCCCTCTCTTGGACCATCTGTCCCAGTGTAGGTAGCTGCACCTTCTCTGCATACACCCGGGCTGCCAGTTTGGCCTGATACTGGAACAGTGGGAACGGTACTATGGATAAGGGCAGCCCAATGTGGCACACACTCGGGTAGTCTATATCGAAGAAGTGAAGGTATAGCCGCTCCAGGTACTTCTTAGTCGGAGAAACTCGGTCTAGCGTAGTGCCTGGGGAGAAGCAATGCAATCAGTCGTTACTAGGCAACCAAGGTGTCTTATTTGGAATACGTGTATTTGTTATCTGGAGTTGATTGTAGAATGCAGAAATGACCGGCACGAACGCCCATCCCATAAATAGATCAGTGCATTTAGATCTCATAACTAGATCATTGCATATAGATCTCATAACTAGATCAGTGCATATAGATCTCATAACTAGATCAGTGCATTTAGCACATGTCTACAACACGTGTTATGTCAGAATCACGTACATACGGGCTGCCATATTGCACCAATAACTCGGTTGCAGCGTGCACGCATCGTCACAGTACGTCAGGCGTACCAAAAGGACGCAACGCATTTATCGTATGGGCCAGTGCACTCCAGTTCACATATCAGTAGATCGATAGAAGGAGGGTATTCAGGTCACTCGCGAGTGGTAAAGGTTTCAGAACGCCACTGGTGAGAGCAGGCGAGCACAGAGGAAAACACACAGATGACATATGGACGCAAACGCAGGTCAGATTATTTTGATCATAGACTTGCGCAATGCCAGCAGAAGTCCGTATCACTGGCGAATGAGCCACCGCTGTCCTATTTATAAAGACAATGGGCCACCTCTGTCCTATTTACAAAGACAATGGGCCACCTCTATCCTGTTTACAAAGACAATGGGCCACCTCTGTCCTATTTACAAAGACAATGGGCCACCTCTGTCCTATTTACAAAGAAAATGGGCCACCTCTGTCCTGTTTACAAAGACAATGGGCCACCTCTGTCCTATTTACAAAGACAATGGGCCACCT